TTAACATCACTACTAAAAAATTAATCTTTGAATATTTATTTAACTTTTTAATATCACCAATTTAATATCAGGAAACCCAGTGGCGCAGTGGCTAGCGCGTCACGCAGCAGCACCACAGGTCCAGGGTTCGATCCCCGGGCTGGGCAAGTTTGGCTCTGTCTTTCATCCCTTGAGAGAGTCAATAAAATGAGTACCAAGTTCGCTTGGGGCTAAACACCGGGCGGGGGTCCTTCTACAAGCTGTTGCCACTTGTCTAGGCAATATGCACAAGCACCCCGGAGCCCACGGTCTAAAAGACAGATATCAGGGCACTGGCCGGCCATGGGTCCCTAAGGGCTGTTTGCGCCGCTGAGTTTAGTTTAGTTTTAGTTTAATATCAGTATAATATTTAACCTTTTAAGATCACTGACAAAAAATTATTTAACTTTTTCATTGTACAGTATACCGAATGATCTCGGTAAATTCTAAAAATTTTATCACTCCTCTTTTAGTTATTAGGTGCTGTGGCACCGGTTGCACCTGCCTTGCTTGTATTCCCATTATACACGTGGAAAAACCAATGGCGCCCACGCAGTGAGCCTCTTTCCTTAAATTTGATCTCGATTCGAACTGTATCAAATATTGGTCTTATGCATTCGAGCTCTGATGGGCCGAACAAATATTCTGAAACATGAAACTTACTCCAAGTTCATTGTGTACGATTCATTCGGGCGCTGGTAGGCAGAATAAGCATTCTGAAACATGAAACTTACCTCAAGTTCACTGAGTACTCATTAAACTTACCTCAAGTTCATAGTGTACGATTCATAAATAACCGCCCTATAACACGTAAAACAAATACCATTTAATTTAATTGAAATTGTGGATGTTTTGAGTCAAAATACATATTTAAGTCCTTTCACCCGCTTGAAAGCACCCCAACTGTGGAACAATAAAGTCACTGAACACTGGTAGTTTCGTTCGAGATTCGAATTCCGGCAAACGAGTTGGCTGCATGGGCGTGTTCTGGGTTTTCTCCATATGTAAACGTGTATATAAGCTAGTTTCCTTCAGAAAGTTCTCCGCGAAGGCATTCCTTCCCTTAGGCAGATAGCCTGGAGCACATATCCATAATCAATTAAACCAAACCAACCGTTCCTTGCATACCGCATGAGTAAAAAACGAAATCTAGAGGTAGATCACTAGCATCCAGTAGATGAAGACATTTTATCAATTCTAGATTTTTGTTTATTCTTTTAACTTTATAAAGTTTTGTGTTCTTTGTTAGTATAAACTGGTATGCAATATCCTAATAACTTAGAACATAAAATAAGAAACTTAAACATGAAATGTACGTCTTATGCTTAACGAAGTCAGTCAACCACTTGTGGCGAGATAACTTAAAAGTAACAGTCAAATTCAAATTAAGACTAGTAGTCGAAGACTGCACAGTTTATTTAAAGCGAAGTTGGCTTAAAATTGTCACCGACGTAACAATTTAAATGTCAGCAATTATAACGCAAAGCCGAAGACTGCTGTCTTATCCAAGCTAGCGAAACCTAATAACGTGGCCTCGGGAGGCAGACACGCTCTATCTTACAATCCAAAAACCTCAACTTACATACTCTTAACCTAATTTGCATTCTGAAACGAAAACGGAAAAGTGAAGTGAGAGTAAATATCTAAATCATAATAACTAGTTAAATTAGCATGAAGGAACTTAACAACTTTATCAGTTTTTTAGCATTTTATATAATGATAATATTTCTTATTATTGGATAATTTATCCGTTTGACTGCTAATAGCTCCTGTAAGATTCTGTTAAAAATTGCTCTCCTTTATTTAACCTTTGTGTTATTTTTATTTGCTGTAAAGAAGCTTCACAGTACGGCTAACATTTTGTTAAACAGTCAAGGAGACAAAAGCAAAAATGGAGAGTCTGCATAAACCCTCCTCTTTATCTTTAGAAACATAATTGATGTTTAAATTCAATCTTTAGATTTCTCTTCAAAGATGAATTTTTACATTCATTTCCCATTAAAAATTGAAAAAATTAAACCATGTAAGCATAGCCATGAAATTGTTTTGAGGCAGGGCAGATGGAAAATGTGTAGTGTCCTCCCCGGATCTCGAACATGAACCTCTCGAATACGCGCAGAGTGTGCTACTGTTACACCACGAAGGCTTGCTGGAAGAAGGTAGAAAATACTTTATAACATAAGAAATTAAAAAAAAGACAATGGTTGTGTACTAGTTTCATAATATATGGGGTTATAAGCATCTGTTATTATTGGCAACAAAGCTGAAAATTTTCGTAAATATTATCAGTTCGATTCATAAATTTAATGCGTTTTTATTTATGTCAATTACATGCATTATTGAAATATAAAATAAAATTTTATATTGTTGCGTAGGTACGGGTTCGTAATAAATTAAATGCACAAGTCAGATGAAAAGTGAATAAGATTTATTCTTATCACAACAAATAAAACAAAATACTGAAATTTTTTCAGAGATATTCGTACAACATCGCAATATCTCGCAGTAGTTATATTTTAAACGACTAAAACGTTTTACAGAATACAATTCAAAACAAAGAAAGTTAATCCGATCTCATCGAGAATTCTCTACAATCAACAACAACAAACAACAAATAAGTAAACAACTAAATTGAGATGCTTTTCTCCAGCTTTTATAAGCTTTTTAAATGCACGAGAACATTCTCGTATTTTTCTCGATTTTTCTGGGTAGCAAGAGTACAATTTCGAGATATCTATTTATTAAAATGTTAAATGTGTGTGCTCCTGTATTTTAATTTTTCCGGCGTAGCTTTCTCTTCAAATAAGTCTCGTGCTGCATTGCACGGGAATATAAAACAATTTTTTAATTACAAATTCTACTAAAAATAGCTAAATAAATACAAAAATACTATTAAGAAATACTATTAAGAAAACTAATACAATTAAGAAATACTATTAAGAAAATAGTAGCAATACTATTAAGAAATTTGTTTACTGTTTTAGAATCGCTCAGTAAATAATAAAGTGATTAATTTTGAAAGATAAATAAAAGGCTTTAAGCTTTGGTAAATGGCAACATACTAGCTATGCGCGATAGTGAAGAGAAGATTCAGTAAATGGAAGTCATTATATTTAACGCAATGGCAGCACTTGCTAATAAGGATTGCTTCTATACCTTTTCCTTTCTACATGTTTGTGAGTTCCAACGTATGATTGTATCGACGGATTTTATTTTGTTAGGACAGATTAGATAAAAACAATACCTTTCCGGAAAAATGTACTTGTGCATACATTTTTCCGTCTTATGCCATATGGAATCTACATAAAAAATTTCGATAGAAAAATAAACTAATTATATCAGCAACAATGGCGCGCAGTTTTTAATGATTTTCGTCTTTCTAACCAAATGGTCATTAAAACTCAAGTTCGATCCAATATCTCACCTATATGCAATTTTAGTCGATTAAATATGGCAAAAAATGTATCATAATATAATAGATCAGAAATCAATAACGAGAACAACAACACACAAACGGACATTCTTCTTTATATAGACAGAGATTTTATAAAACTTACAAATTTTTGATTACCAAACTCTACGATCGGAAAGCAAGCAGTAGCAACACTTTTCGAAATAAAGCATTTTTATCTCCAACGCCGCGAGTTGCCACTCGGAAAAATGATTGCGAAAATTAATGTTGTCAGAGTTTTTAATTAATATCTCTGCTGATTAAAGTCGTACGAAGATGGGGATAGTCGAAATGGCTTAACGAGAATTTTTGGAATCGGAAATAATGTATTTAACATTTTGCTACTTTTATTTCATATTTGTAAACCTTTGAAATTTATTGTTAAGATTGAATACGATTTGAAAGCGAGCAATGGCAGCACTTCTCGAAAGAAAGCAGATCTTTATCTCCAGCTTGCGAGACTGTTGCCACTCGGAAAAATGACGGCGAAAATGAGCGCTTTCGGAGTTTTTAATTAATACCTCTGATTTTAGCTATTTCTTTTTGGGAAAAAGTGGACGTCGACCTTTCCAAGACCCATAAAAGAATTGTAGAAAATTTGGCGACGATAGCTATAGTTGTGACAGAGTTAAACGCGAACAAACACACATTCTTCTTTATACACAACATTTATATTTTATGTGCAATTCTTTTATACGCATTTATTAATTTCTAGTAAATCTAAAGCTAGTTTTCATTAACATTTGCATTAATAATGCAATTTTAACGTAGATGTTTTTTATCCATAAAATTTTGCTGTCTGTCATTTGCCCATAATCTTATATGTGTTTTCTGAGCGTTTTGCTAACTATAATATTTCTAAACACATTAATTCAGTAAATATATAAGGAAATTAATACAGGATAAAACTACGCACTAATGAACAACTTAAATTATTTATTGCTAAACAATAGCTGTTTATTTTTCTGCAGGAAGTATAAAGTTATAATTAAATACGTAGTTATTTTACGCGACTTATTTTTTATTACAGGTAACACGGAATTTATTTATTTTACTTTTAAGTTTATCTTTCTCGAGTTCTTTTCTTTTCATTTCAAACGCTTCAGTTTTCACAGTTTAAGAACTGCGTGGTCGTATTGAGAAACTTAAAAAATCAAACTCTCCTTTTGATAGATCTCTCTCTTTCTCACTCTATTTAAATAAGATGACACCGAAAGGCATGATCTCAATGAAAAAAATAAAAATGAGATCTCAGATAGTGGAGCTATCACCCCACCAACGTAAAAATCGAAACTTATAAAATAAACAAGGAAAGCAAAACAAAAGGCAGTCCATGTCCGGAAAACTTTCCAAATAAACCAGCATAAAATCCGGCTCAGAACAATGCGTGATGCATGGAGGGCTTTGTGTCCTACCAGCTGGATGTCGCCTGGGCAGGGGGCCCCCCTAAGAGACACCACAGGGGGCCCCGCTTAAACCTCGCCCGATGCGGCCGCGGAACTCACCATCGGCTTTGCAGACGGCTTGCGGAGGCGATGCAGCGGACGCCTGGTCAGCCGAGGCGGAGGGAGATTTTCGGAAGGATTTACTTGCCGAAATGCTGCCAGATGAGCCACGAGCCTCCACCGCAGACGATTCGCCGCAGAACGAGAGGTGAGTTGGTATTCTTTTGTCACATGCCGGGCGATCTTCGTGTTTAGTTTCGGTTTCCATTTCTCTTGGCAGTTGATATTGTTAAAGATTTTTCTGTATATGGCCAAATACCAGGATTCCGCGTTTTTACTACTAATTATTTATGTTTTATTCGCGTAATAAATATATAAAAATTTATAATTATGTATGTGGAAAATTTATAATTATGTATTATGGAAATGAGCTAACTCCCTTAATTGCTCATGAAATGGTACATCCTGCGCGTTTTTTATATATGGACTACAGTAATTTTCAGATTTTAAACCTCGCTCTGGTTATAATTATTAACGATGATTGATATCAGCGACGGTTGATAAAATATACGCTTTTGGTTCCCGCTGAAAATGAAATTAATGGCGGCAAATTATTATCAGAATCATGATGATCTCTCTGAAAATCATTACTGATTCCAAAGGTAGCCTTTAATTCTCTATCAGTACCTAAAAATGTCTGGAATTGAAGTAAATTTATTTATTTATCAAATACCTGGCCATTGACCATCAGGTCATTAGGCAGCGAGATTTCCAATACTTCTTTACAATACAGACCAAACTCTTAAATGCAGAGCACACGTCCAGATGAGCAGCATCCATGACTTGTCCAGAATAACACAAAATAAATCTTGAAGTAAATGTACTACCACTCATAATAATAATCTTGTAAGTTATTACTGCCCCTAACCATAATAATTTCTTTTTCGTATACAACAATGCTTTCATGATAAAGATTTTTTAATGATAACAATCTTTTTTTTTTTTTTTTTTTTTTTTTTTTGTTATAGTACCAAACGTTTTCTGTTAAAATATGTGCAATATGCAAGATAGTATGGCTAATAGTAATAGTATGTAAGCTGTACACAGTTTCCGAGATAGGGCTTTTTCAGGAAATTTTAAATTTTTATTCATATTTTCATAAGCTTGTTCGAAACTATATTTTATTTAGAATATTGATACAAATATAATAATGGCAAAGAATATATAACTCTTTATCTAACTGAACTCCATTCCGGTATTGGCTGAGAGCATACAAACGGATTCAGTGTTGCCAAAACACTCGAATTATTTCGATATAGAGACTGAAAATTGAAAACTTTTTCATGTATACGGGTAATTATTTACTAAAACTGCGTTTTTTTCCCTTCTTTATTATTATTAACAACGTATTACGTTATTTTAGTAGTGTATCGAGAGTTTCGTGAAAAATGTAATGCTAAATCACCAGCTGTATCTGCAAAGAGCAAAGATTTCATACAGTCATAAAAATACTTATTTGCCAGCAAACTATTTCCTAAACAACAACAGAAAAATAATTGTCAAGAGCATGCAGGAAAAAAAAAATTCTTTTATCTGTACTTGCAATCAGTATATATTATCTTGAACTATTTTCTTCGTGCCAAATTGTTTCCTAAAACGAAAAAAGAATTTTCAAAAAATAATTTTGATGAAGTAAATTATCCTTTAATAAGTTTTAGCACAAATAATAAAATTTAATTATTGTTACGAAATAAAAACGGAGGTTGTCCTATTGCGAAAAAGACGTATAATTTAAATTTTTTTCCCGCAATAAAATAGCTTTATTTAAAAGCTCATACGAGATTCAAAACATCGATTTTCTTCTTCCACAATATTGTAGTTGAGCATTTACCATTCATTTAACTAAAAAATTTTTGTTATTTATTTATTAATTATTATTATTATTATTTTATTATTTGATAATTTTGCTCTCAGTTTAACTGTGATGCTCGAACTACATTATTTGTAAAGATTAGTTCCATCTTAATCCAGACTCAATTCTCGCTGCTTTCATGTTGGATCTTCTAGGAAATTTGACTTCTGTTTCATAGATTTAGGGGGGCCGGGGAAATAGAAAAAAGAAAATCTGAAAGCTTTCATATTTTATATTACGCCCAAAGGGGAGTTTTTTTAACGTTTGGTGTATTACCTTTATTTATTAAATATCATATTCTTCGCACTTAAACCATAAAATTCAGTTCAAGAGCAACATTGCAAAATATTTAAAAGAGCAATATATTTAGAATTTCCTCTATTTAAAAGAGCATATCTTTAGAATTTCCGCTATACAGTCTAGAGCGCTGGAGATAAGTTCCCCCCTGTACAGTGTTGCCATTACTCGCTTTGTAATCGCTGAATTTGTTAACCAAAAATTCGTTGAAGTTTTACAATATACCCATATTCGAGTGGAGGCCTACGTTATTCAAAATTTGATGTTTCTCAGTACTATTGTTTTTCACAATGCAAGAAAAATACATACTTTCATGCAGATTCTTCATTATTTATTTTAAGTATAATGCACGACTCTAATATTTGTTGGCAACGATTTGAAAAGTGGACGCACATTTGTAGTAAACAGACGCACAATGCCAAAACGAAATTAATAGCCCTTCTAGGCAAATGGCCCCTTTGGGCTAAAAATTAAAATAAAAAAATTAATAAAGAAGAAAGAAAAACATCAAGTGCTTTTGTTCGTTACGTCAAGTCTCACATCACTCAGGACTTAAATTTTAGCGAAAAACAGGGTCGTCGCCCTGGCGAAGACGTTAGTGTTTAATTCGTTGTAATTAGATGAAGGTCTTAAAAGTACCGTTACAGTTAATTGAGAAGTTTATTTTTCACACTTTTTTTTTTTTTTTTGCGCAGATGACAAGATTATTTTTTAATACAAAATAATAACCATTTGAAAAGCTTTCCTTTAACACCTATCAATAATGACTCTGCTACAGAAAAATATTCTAGTGATTCTTCTGTATTTTGAGGTGTTGATTTCAATTATGAAATCAAATTTTCTACATTCAGCTTCATATTTCGCCTTCACCACGAGTGAAGCTGTCTAGTGAGTTACTATTCTGTATCAGATGCAATCTCTTGGTGAACTGGAATGAATGAATTAAGAGACAAATACTATATTTACCTGCATATTTATTTATTAGCCCAAAGGGGCGTCAAATCTAAAGGGCTATTAGTCTCAAAAGGGCATTTTGCATCTTTTCACTTTCTGCGTTAGTTCACATTTCCAAATGTTGCCACCAAATATTATCGCCATGTATTACATTTAAAGAAAATAAGTAATGAAGAATATGCATGAATGCATGAATGTTTCTCGCACTGTGAAAAAACAAGGGTAGCTAGAGCCATCGAATTTTGAATAACGTAGTCCTCCAACCGAACATGGGCACTTGGACATTTTTAATTTCGAATTTGTTTTATTATCTATTTGAAATTTTTCAAAATTCTAACATTTTTTTTAACAAACTCAACGATTTCAAAGCGAGTAATGGCAACACTCTACGGGGGGGGGAACCTTTTTGTCTCCAGCTGCGCGGAACTGTGTATTGGAAATTCTAAAGATGGGCTCATTTTAAAATTATTTTGCGACATTGCTGTTGAACTAAATTTTATGGTTTAAGTGTGTAAGGATTATGTTAATTTTATTAACAGTTAAATTTTAAGTTAAAGTTCCTTTCCTGTCAAATTCTTAACTTCAACTTACTACTTCGGCCAGAACGTAGTTTTGGAATCCTGCTGAATATTTAATGAGGAGGAGCGGTATTTAAGCCACGAAGTTATACTGAGTGAGAGGAAGAGAGTTTCGATTTACGCGCGTCTGCCTTTTTGGCCACTCTCTCTCTCAAAGCTGTTATACGCCGGCGTCTCAGGCCTGCGAAGATCGTGTCAATAGTTAAGGGAGCAAACTCGTTTTGAACTGAACTTCGGCTATCTTCCTAGTTAATCTAGTTTAGTTATCTTATCTTTCAGTTCAAGTCTAAGTGCGGGCTGCTTGTAACCCCAGGCGGAGTTTGTTAATCTTATTGGAAATAAGGTTAGTACCCTCGAGCTTGTGTTTCGGCACGAACTCAGCGATATTGCTATCGTTCTAGATTATTCACTTCCAACATTAACTCAAATAGTGCGGCTCTCCCGTGTAAAGCCATAATTTTCTAATAAATGTCACCCAACCAGTAAAACCCGCGCATCTTGCGTCATTTGCCTCGTCCTTTTTTTTCTATTTTTTTTATCGCATTAAATGCAGAAGTGCATAAATACACGTATTATTTTAAACGTGTTCCGTCAGTGTTTATAATGAAGGATACGTAGTACTGCAGGACGCTGGAGAATTTTATAGACGAGCTAGTTGTTAAAATTTAAGATATAAACTGAAATCAATTTGAATTTTCTCTCAGTAAATATAAGATAGAACGAAATGAGCAGAGATCACTAAGCGGAGTAATAAGTTCAACGCATTCGTTATAACCAGTAATTCAAATATTAATGACTTCCTTATTTTTTACATTTTATTTATTTATTTTTAGTTAATCTGATATATGGTTTTGCCTGCCCGACGGCTTTATAAAAGTATATTTTCCCTCTTGGTCAGTTAGAATAGAATCAAAACCATTCATAACAATGAAAATCTGATTTTCTTAAAACTTTTCACAGCTGTTATCTGTAAAATCAATTTCCAAGACACTGTAAGCGTTTTTCTTCGCTAGATTTATTTTTAAGGCCAAGCTATCTTGTGCTGTAAGTTTTACCTAAAAGAAATTTTGAATTATTTATTTAAAGAAAAGGTTTCTTTTGTAAATTTCAAATCATCAGGTTATAAGCAATTAACAGCAATGCTTATTTCAGCAGATGACTTTAATTAAAATCTAAAATTGTAATAAAATTCATTCTAATCATTTAATTTTATTATAATTTTTAGACTTTCTGATAAATTACATTATATACTTATTAATTAATGGCGACGGCCTAACTTCAGTGAAAATATAAGAAAAAAATTACTAATAATTTATATAAGAATACACGGCGCTGTAAAAGGCTCAAGCAAATAGTTAACTTAAAAGTCTTTAATGCACCAAATATTCATAAAAAGGTTATATAAACAAATTAACTACTAAATTGTTAACTTTTATTGCATTTTTTATCTCAAAAGGTGGAATTTTT